TATATCATGAACTAAAATATAAGAGCTAAAACTATCAAATTTCTAAAAGAAAACATAAGAGAAAATCCGTGTAGCATTGGTTTGGGCAAAGATTTCCTACTTAAGATTCGAAAAGCACAAACCATAAAAGACAAAAAATCTATAATTTGAACTTCATCAAAAGTTTTTAAAATGTTTGCTTTTTATTTTTTAAATATTTTTAAAATATTTTATTTACTTACTAATGAGAAACACAGAGGTGTCCCAAATGTTTGCTTTTTTTAAATAAATTAATTTTTATTGGTGTTCAATCTACCAACATACAGAATAACACTCAGTGCTCATCCCGTCAAGTGTCCCCCTCAGTGCCCGTCACCCATTCACCCCCACCCCCCGCCCTCCTCCCCCTCCACCACCCCTAGTTCATTTCCCAGAGTTAGAAGTCTTTATGTTCTGTCTCCCTTTCTGATATTTCCCACACATTTCTTCTCCCTTCCCTTATATTCCCTTTCACTATTATTCATATTCCCCAAATGAATGAGAACATACACTGTTTGTCCTTCTCCGATTGACTTACTTCACTCAGCATAATATGTTTGCTTTTTAAAAGACACTGGTGAGGGGATGCCTGAGTGGCTGAGTGGTTGAGCATCTGCCTTTGGCTCCAGGCATGATCCCAGAGCTCTGGGATTGAGTCTTGCATCAGGCTCCCTGCTAGGAGCCTGCTTCTCCTGTGCCTATGTCTCTGCCTCTCTCTGTGTGTTTCTCATGAACAGATAGATGAAATCTTTAAAAAGAAGAAAAAGAAGAAGAAGACGACGATGACAACGACAACACTGGTGGGTGGCTGTGTGGCTCAGTCAGTTAGGCATCTGACCCAGGTTTCAGCTCAGGTCATGATCTTGGGATCATGAGATGGAGCCCTGCTTCGGGCCAGTGCAGAGTCTGTTTAAGATTCTCTCTTTCTCCTTCTGCCCCTCCTCCACTCTCTCTCTCTCAAATAAATAAATAAATAAATAAATAAATAAATAAATAAAATATTTAAAAATAAAAATAAGACACTTGTACACTTCTTGTCCAGACAAGATGACATAGACTCATTTCTCACTGCTCCTCAACCATATACAGTACAACTATAAACACTGAAATAATACAAGAGGCAACCAAAGGAGAAACCTGGAAGATAGTAAGGGAAACTAGTTTGAGATCATAGTACTGGAGAATGACACAGGGAAAGGACATCTCACCTCTCTTCCTACCCAACAGAAGAAGATAATCAAGATCTGGTGTTTCCCAACTCCTAACCTAGCAATGGGAGGCATTGTAAGCCTATTCCATACCTGGATTGAAATGAAGTCTGGATGAGCCTGGCACCATTGGAGAGGAGGTTAGATCTCAGAGCCCTATTCACAATAATTGGCCAAGGAAGCACTTTTCCTCCCCTCGAGGCCTGAGACTTCCCTCCTACAACTTGGTTAGTCAGAGTAGCAGGGAGCTTCAGCAAGAAGGATCTGCCACAACAAATTGTCCAAGCCTGGAAGCTTCTTTGTCTTGCAGCCCTGAGATGCTCTCTTCCCACCAGGAGACACCAGCCTGCCCAGCCTGGGGAACCACTTTTACCCCCTCAGCACCAGCAGAGACCAGTGGAAGCCCCAGATAAACAGAAAGAACAAAATAACACCACAGAGTGTCTGAAACTTGAATTGTCATTGGAACCACAAAAGTAGCCTGTGTCCTGGATTCTAAACTAAAGCCTGCTGAAAGAAATATCTCAAAGGAAATTTTAAAAATACGGAGAGTTGAATGAAAATACAACATATCAAAAATGTAGAATGAGGCTAGACCAATGCTGAGAGGAAAATTTATTCCACTCAATGTTTACGTTAAAAATAGGAAAAGGTCTCAAGTTAATCATCTGATTTCTTACCTAAACAAACTAGAAAAACGAAAGCAAAATAAAGGCAAAAAGATGGAAATATTAAAGCATGACTAGAAATCAATAGAATTGGTAAAAGGAAATGGGTAGAGAAAACTCAACGAAACAAAGCCTAGTTCTTTTAAAAAATTCAATAAAATTGATAAACTTCTAGCAAGTCTGACAAGAATCAAAGGAGAGAATACAAATCACAGTCTCCATCTAAAGAATGAAACAAGCATATCCATGACAGGTCTTAAAGCTATTACAAAGCATAATAAGGGAATACTGCAAGCAACTCCTCTATTCAAATATTCATATATTCATTAAAAGAAATGGACCAATTGTTCAAAACTCACAAACTACCAAAACTTAACCTAGATGAAATAGCTTAATTCATTTTTTAATTATTAAGTTAATGTATTAGTAATTAAAAGACTCTCAAGAAAAAAAAAAATCTCCAGGCTCAGATACTTTTACTAGAGAATCCTACTAAACATTTAAAGATTTTTTTTTCATTTAAAGAATTAATACCAATTTTACACAGTTTCTTCCTGAATAGAGAACAGGAAACATTTCCCAGCCTATTTTATGGGGTCGATATTACCCTGATACCAAAACCAGACAAAGAGAGTATAAAAAAAAGAAAACTACTATGAACTTCAATGAAAAAGAAATCCTCACCAAAAAAATCAGCAAACCCAAATACAGTAATGTATGAAAAAGAATCATACACCATGACTAAATGAAATTTATTTCAGATATTCAAGCCTGGTTCACTATTCAAATTCCAATAGATGAAATTCATACCAATAGTAAGTATCCTTACTTACTATCCTTCCTTAATCGTCAAATTATAGATAAAGGAGAATTGTCTCAACCTGATTAAAAGCATCTACAAAAAATCTACAGCTAGGGGCACCTTGGTGGCTCAGTCAGTTGAGCTTCGTTCTCTTGATTTCAGCTCAGGTCATGATCTCACCATCATGAGATCAAGTCCCATGCTGGGCTCCGCACTGGGTGGGAAGTCGGCTTGAGATTCTCTCTCCCTCTCTGAAAATTGCAAAATGCTGATGACAGAAGTCAAAGACCTAAATAAATAATATCCTGTGTTCATGAATTGGAAGTCTCAGTATAGGTATAGTTTCAGTTCTCCTCAAATTGATCTGTAGATCTCATGCGATTCCTATTAAGATACTAGCACATTTTTCTGTAGACGTAGACAAGCTTATTCCAAAACTTATAAGGAAATGCACCCAGGTGCCCTGGCAGGATAACCTTTTCAACAATTAAGCATCCATAGGCAAAAGAAAAAAAAATCTCAAACTGAGCCACATAACTATACGAAAATTAACTCAAAATGGATCATTGATTTAAATGTAAAACATAAAACTATAAAACCTCTAGAAAATAGGGTCAAAATGGATCATTGATTTAAATGTAAAACATAAAACTATAAAACTTCTAGAAAATAGGGATGCCTTGGGTGGCTCAGTCGGTTAAGTGTCTGCCTTTGGCTCAAGTCATGATCCCAAAGTTGTGGGATCGAGTCCCACATTGGGCTCCCTGCTCCCGAGGGAGCCTGCTTCTCCCTCTGCCTGCCATTCCTCCTGCTTGTGCTCTCTCTCTCTCTCTCTGACAAATAAATAAATAAAATCTTTAAAAAAATCTTTTATAGGTGATCCCTGGGTGGCGCAGTGGTTTGGCACCTGCCTTTGGCCCAGGGCGCGATCCTGGAGACCCGGGATCGAATCCCACATCGGGCTCCCGGTGCATGGAGCCTGCTTCTCCCTCTGCCTGTGTCTCTGCCTCTCTCTCTCTCTCTCTCTCTCTGTGACTATCATAAATAAACAAAAAAATTAAAAAAAAAGATTAAAAAAATCTTTTATAAAATAAAGAGAAAATCTTTGGGCTCTAGCATGAGGCAAAGAGTTCTTAGGCTTGACATCAAGAACATAATCCATAAAAGGGAAAATCCATAAATTAAACCTCAACAAAACTAAAAACTTCTGCTTTCCGAAGGACTGTGTGAAGAGAGAGAAAAGACAAGCTACACCACAGGAAAAACGTTTTGCCCATCACTTATCTCACAGGTGCCTGGTATCTAGAATACATAAAAAAACTACAAAACTTAGCAATGAACCAATAACCCAACTAGAAAATGAGCAAATGGCATGAACAGACATTTTATTGAAGAGAATGTACAGATGACAATTAACACCCGAAAAGGTGTTCAACATCCCTAGGTCCCGGGAAAGTACCAATTAAAACTCTGATATCACTATGCACCCAGCAGGATGACAGAAATAAAACAGCGACAAAAACGCAGGCTGGTGAGAACGTGGAGAGAGCGCATCACCCCTGCACTGCTGGCAAGAATGTAAAGTGGTGCCCCCATTCTGGAAGGCAGCTTGACAGCTTCCCATAAGGCAAAACATGCAATCACCCTAAGACTCAGCAGTTCCGCTGTTGGCGTTTCTCCTAAAGAAATGAAAACTGTATCAACACAAAAATCTGCACACGAATGTTCATATCAGCTTTACTCCTTTTCTATTTTTAAGATCTCATTTATTTATTCATGAGAGACACAGAGAGAGAGGCAGAGACACAGGCAGAGGGAGAAGGAGGTTCCCTGCAGGGAGCCTGACGCAGGACTTGATCCTGGGACCCCAGGGTCACGCCCTGAGCTGAAGGCAGACGCTCAACCCCTGAGCCACCCAGGTGGCCCCATATCAGCTTTACTCCTAATCACCACAAACTGAAAGCAACTCAGGTGTCCTTCAATGAGTGACTGGTTCAAGTAACTACAGTACAAGCAGATTGTGTAAAAAAACTTCAGCATTTAAAAGAAGCAAAACTATTGATACATAACAATCTTTAGAGAATTATGATGAGTGGAAAAAAAAATCCCAAAAGTTTCCCTACTGTATCAGAAAGGGAGACAGAACATGAGAGACTCCTAACTCTGGGAAACGAACTAGGGGTGGGGGAAAGGGAGGAGGGTGGAGGGTGGGGGTGACTGGGTGGTGGGCGCTGAGGGGGGCACTTGACGGGATGAGCACTGGGTGTTATTCTGTATGTTGACAAACTGAACACCAATAAAAAATAAATGCATTAAAAAAAAAAGTTTCCCTACCGTATGGATCTATTTAGGTAACGTTTGAAATGACAAACTTTAATGATTGTCAGGGGCCAGGCGGGGTGGGTAAGGGCGGGGGTGTCCGTGGATATGGTTTTAAAAGAGCCACACCTGGAGTCTCTGCGGTGACCGCAGTGCTCTGACTGCTGGTGGACACCCGAAGCTAGACACATGTAGAGCTGAACATTACAGAGTCAAGCCACACACACACACACACACACACGGAAATACGTACAAAAAATAAAAATAAGAGAAAGGAGAAAAGGGTGAGGAGACAGATTTCAAGTTCGAGTTTGGAATAAAGTTTGGAGTTGGGCCATCTCTGCAGGTTAAACGAGAGAGAGAGAGAAAATGCTGGGGAAGGAAAACAGAAAAGCAAGTCACGGAGAGTGAGACGATATTTATGGAGCACGTAGGCGATAAGAGACGTATCTAAACTATATCTCAAGGTATGATTTAATACCGGGCGACGATAAACTCCGTAATATATATTTTAAAGCTTTCTGTTTAAAACTGCCTGAATTTCGGACCAAAACATCAGAAAACGGCTATGAGAGATGCTAGAGACTGAAATAGTCTTCCGATTGCAATGCACTTACACAAACTCTCTAGCATAACAGATAAGATCTTTTACCACCTGGCCTCAGTTTACCCCGTTGGTCCTACCTGCCTTTGCTGTCCAACATGCGGACCGTGATTTAGCCTCACAGGGATATTTGAACATAAGCAGCCCTTCCGTGCTTCTAGAACATGGGGCAGAAGAAGCCCAAGGGACATCTGGAGACTCTGAGGTCAAAGGGACCCGTGACTCAGTTCCTAGGTAAAACCCAGGGAAGCATCAAGACGCCGGCACGGAAGTGAAGGTTCCATGTGCCTAATCACACAGCGCAGTCGAGAGCCTTCTAGAAGCAGCAGAAGGTCTGGGAAGGCAATGGACTGGCTGAGACAGAGGCAGACGTGGAGAAACCCTGAGAGGGGAACGAGAGCAGATTCAGCGATGACCTGTGGGCCGAGGCCAAAGGGCAGACAGAAACCAGGGCAGGTCAGCACAGAGCCCTGCCCGGGGACACCTGTCACCAGCTAACGCCCAGCCCTCAGGCCTAACCAGGCATGAGTGTAGGGGCGCTCAAGGGGCTGAGATGACTCTTCATCACCGAACAAAGTGGAGGGTTTGTGGGGTTTTTAAAGATTTTATTTGTTTACTCCCGAGAGACACACAGAGAGAGGCAGAGACACAGGCAGAGGGAGAAGCGGGCTCCCTGCGGGGAGCCCATGGGGGACTCGATCCCAGGACCCGGGGATCACCACCTGAGCCCCAGGCAGATGCTCAACCACTGAGCCCCCCAGGCGTCCCCAGAATGGAGGCTTAATCTAGACATTAATCCTGTAACAGGAAAGCAAGCTTAGAATTCTTGGTTATTAGCTGTGTAGACTCAACTACAAATAATTCCTATAACTTAGAGCTTCCTAACGTTCTCAGTGCACAGCAAGTCCTCGATGGGTGCTTATCGTGAGAATGAATAAAAGGCATAATAATGATTTTAAGCCATCCCTCAGTTCTGATATCCTGGCATTTATTTTATTTTATTTTTTTTCCCCAAAAACCTCCAGGTCCCCACCAGGTGGCGTCCAGCATCTGGAATTCTTCACTTCCCGGGTTGCTCCCGGATTTTTCTCCCCTGTGATCCGTGCTCCCTTGTTCACAGTTGGCAGAGATGTTTCCGACTATTTCACTAGAGACTTAAACTTGCTCTTCTCATGCAAAAATGCTGGGCTTTCCCCTCCAATCTTTCCCAGCTTGCTTCTGCAACTGCAGAGGGAGGAAAAAAGAAAAAGAAAAAGAAAAAAGAACTATCTAGTTGCAGCTCACCTAAGCACCAGAGCAGCTGCTGAGAACAGGTCCATGGCACTTTCTCGAACATGTTCTTCGGACACAGACTTTAGGGCATTGTCCTCCCTTCTGCATACGTCTCTCGGGCCCATCTCAGTTTTGTGCTCTCCGCCCCCATTACTTCCTGAGAAGTAACATTCTACTTTGACTGTATTTAGTATTTTAAAGCTTTCTGTTTAAAACTGTTGGCATTCTGGACAAAAACATCAGAACACGGCTACGAGAGATGCTAGAGCAGCTTAGAAAACCTTCCTTGGGAAACAAAGCTTCTCAAAAAAAAAAAAAAAAAGACTTACATTTTTTGAACATCGAAAAATATCCCTTTCTGAGAAATAAAACAAAGGCAGATCTCAGTTACTTGAAGATGAGTAAGTCAGGGACTTGAAGATGCGGAGAAGGATCCTGGAAAGAGGAGAGTGAGAGACGAGAGCCTGCACAGGTTTCCTTTCCTGGCCTCTACTTGGGAGACACTAAATGGTTGTCCGTGAACCTCGTGGACTGTCACTGTTCCTGGGGCTCCTGGGCTCTTTCTAGGCATCATCCCAGGCAGATCAATCACCCCAGATTCCAGTACCTGCAGGCTGTTCCTGGGTGACTGCCAGTCATCCTTCTAGAATAGCTCTTACTCACCAGCTACAGACAACCGACTGCCCACCTCCACCTCCCGGGGAACTAAAATTCCCCAAGCCCAGCACTGGACCCTGCCACTACCACCACTGCCCCCTTGTCCTTGGTGGACAACGACACTGCCACCCACTCAAGACAGGGACATGGGAATTCATTGCCAATGTGCCTTCTCCCTGCCTTCTACCTAATCGGTCACCTGGCCCTGGCATGGGGATCTACTCTGCAGTGCCCACTCCCATCCTTTCCACTCGAGTCCTAATGTCCTCATCTTGGTTTAAGCCCTGATCTCTTCTACTCTGAGTAATGCTGCAAGCTCTAAACGCACTTCCCTGCCTCACCACCCTCCACTCCTCACCCACGGCCTCCAGACTGGTCCCAACACAGGTGTGATGGTGCAACCAACTCCTAGAAGTCCAAACATCATCCACCCCTCCTCCTGACCTGAACCCTGCATTCCAATCTTCTGGACTACTGACGTCCACCAAGGGGCCCCCTTCCTCCATGCCCCATGCTTTAATTAGTGCTCAGGCTACATCCCCTCTCCACAATGTCCTTTATCTCCTCCCTCCTTCATCTAGAAAACTCCTTATCATTCTCCGAGACCCAGATCATCCCCCCAGTTGACCATTCTTTTCTTGTCCTGTGTTGGTACCTTGTATATAAACCAATCCGAGTGCCATTGTCCTCTCATGCCAACACTATGAGTTCCCTAACAGCTCCTTATTTTTGTGTTTAGTGATGAGCATGGTGCCTGGCCCTACTCAGGGCTCTGAATACCTTGAACAGTGAATAAATGAAGAGGCAGGATATTAAAGATCAAAATTTACTGACTGCTTAATGAGACAAGCACTTTGCGAAAACTTTGGAAGCTTTATCTCATCGAATTCAACAGTCCAAACAGTCCAAGGTTCTGTAATTACTCGGTTTGGCAGCTGATAAATTTCAGGAAGTTAAGAAATACATGCAAAATCAATACATGCAAATTAAGGGCTCAATTCTTTGTTTAGTTTGCCTCGCCAGAACTGAATCTCGCCAGAAATACTATTCTGACACCCAAAACAATTTTTTTAAGAGGAAGGTCATGGCTTCTGTAAGCTAACCACTTCACTTGAGAGCTTGACCCTGATTCTAGAAAAAAGGCAAGAGTGACTTTTAAGCCTGGCTTGTGAACATTTAGTGAGGGGATCTCACTAATACCCTTGGGCATTGCCAGGAAGCAGCATGGTTTCTCTAGAAATAAGCAATTCCCAACCAGCTTCCTTCTGTTCTGGGAGGCAGGATTCCTTGAACCTAAATCTAGGGAAGTAGAGTAGGTACGTGGGGATGTGTGTGACTCACCCCCATCCTCCCCAGCCCTGCACCATGGCACAGCAGCCATGCTACTTTGGATGTTGAAGCCAACTTTAGGGGTGTGTACTGTCTAAACTAGACGAAACTAGTGTTTCTCCAAGTACTGGTCTATAGGATTATCTGCATGCCTGATAAAAATTCGTTTCTTGGGGCGCCTGAGGCTGGCTCAGTTGGAGGAGCATGTGACTGTTGATCTCAGGGTCATGAGTTCAAGCCCCATGTTGGGTGCAGACATCGCTTAAATAAATAAAACTTAAAAAAAACTAATTTCTTATTTCGGTGCTTAGAGATTCTGAGTCAGTAAGTCCAGGTGCCCAGGAATCTTCTCCCAGAGGAACTGACAAAGGTAGGCGAGAACTACACTTTAGAAACGTGTCTCGAAACCAACCACGAGAACACAACCCCTTGCTGGGACCCTCAGTTTAAGCCAATCAGAATCTGGTTTTATCCTGGAAATGGTTTCTGGTCTAGGCCTAAGTGCTAGGGTGACTCACCTCCGTGTTTGCTCCAGATTTGCTTGGTTTTGGTGCTGCAAGCCCACATCCCAGGACACTCCTCACTCCCAAGCAACTCGGGATTATTGGTCACTTCAGAGGTGATCTAGGAGGTTGTCCAACTGGAAAAATACTCTTCTATTCACACTTTCTTCCCTTCTCACCCTCCTCTGGGCACAAACAAGGCAGCATGTTGTCCCCCACTGCTGTTGGCAGCCATCTTACAACCGCAAGGGAAGCTGGCCCGAGGACAACACACGGGAGAAGCTAGAACAAACTACAAACAGCAGAACAGAGTTGCAGGCCTGGTGGTACATGCCCGGGGCCCTCCCTACCTCTGTGCGCTAATAAAGGTCCTTATTGTTTATTCCAGGTTGATTTAGAGTTCCACCCTTGCGTGCAAAAACATTCTAACCAATGCAGTTTGGCAAATCGAGGTGTTCGGAAGCACTATGACAAAGTCGCTTTCAGACAAAATGAAGACGTGGGCTGAGAAACAGGATAGCAGGGCAAATCCGTCACTTTCCAATGTGACTCCTAAGTTCTTCCGGGTTCTGTTTTACCGGAAGTTATGGGGGAAAACGTATGAAAACCTGAAGGAATATGTCAAATATTCTATGAAAGCTGGCATAAGGACCTAAAGGTAACAAGATGAAATTTAATACCAATAAATGTGAAGCCCTACATCTAGGCCCAAAACAGTCATGACTTTCACAAGTGCAAGATGGGGAAACATGGCTTAAGAGCCACACGAGTGAAAGATTTAAGGATTTTGGTTGACTGTAAACTCAATACAAGCCAACGGTGTGATGTGGTTGCCAAAAATGCTAATGCTATTGTAGGCCGCCTTACTAGAAGTGTAACAAAGATCTCCCTCAGGCCACACCAGCCATAATAACCTTTTACAAAACAGGATTTTTCTACTTTTATAACCACCTGCGTTCTCCTGTTTAGCCCATGGAAATTCTAGACGACCTCCCCCACCATCTCTTTCTGAGAATCTTTTGGAATCTTATTGTGAGCCTGTCCCTCTACTTTCTTTTAGAAACTATTTCCACCATGGATGAAGCTAGCTGGCTGGCTGCTTTTTTACATTTTCATACTCAAGCTACTAAATAAACACTAAAGAAAATAGATGATAGCACTACAAAGTCACCACCGTTACTGCCAGCTAGACCCCTCCATACTATTCAACAGCCTTTCATTATCCCAAGACAGGGCTCTGTCCTCTTGCTCATTACCTTTCCCTCCTTTTCTCGAGACCCACACCTCCCTTCTCTCTGTGGACCTAACCTCTTTCTTCATGAAAATATAATCTGAATTAACATAGAGCCCTTGCCTTCATCTCTCTCAGGACCCCGGCTACCTGATTTTCTGGACATCCCCATGGGGTTTCCACCCCAAACTGAGAGATATTGAGACCTGTGGAAGCCAACAAGCATCTCCAACTGGGCATCCTTGGAGGACCTCCATGTTTTTCATGAATCCCTTTGGTTCCAATACCTCTGTCATTGCAGAATAAACAACCAAAGTGCCAGGGTCCTCTAGGTTACAGGCACAGCTGTGTTCCAACCAAACTGTTACCTGGTGCCAGCTAGTGCTTCCCTATCTCAAGAAAAACCGATCCTTCAGCTTTTGCTGGTGGAATCCCTTCAGAGAGGCTGGAAGTTAATGTATCTTTTCTTTTTTACCATCCCACCTTCATTGCCACTGATCCCACACTCACCTTGGGCAACCAAAACCTTCTTCATCATTTCACCAAATGATAGAGCTTTCCCAGAAACTGGCTTATATAACTGATCATGTCACAGGGTCTATTTCTCAAATTTCTGCATCATGCCTAGGCATGCCTCCGCCCCTAGCCGCAAACACAACTTAGGCCCAAGGTGAATCTCTTCCACCTGGTAAACTAGGAGCTAATGAATAAGAAGTCAAATTCCTGGCCAAGCACATCTGAGCCTCTCCTCCCTGCTCTTCCAACTCCTAAGGAGGCGTCTCTCCCTATCTTCACCACTGTTCTGTGCCTGACACCTCCCACCTGTTCAGAGCCCATTTCTCTCCAGAACCTTCATCCTCTTGGGGGATAGGGAGGGATTTTTCTCTTTGTGCATATATGCATACTCGAGTCTTGCCAATGCCCCTAAGAAATAATAGAACAAGATTTTGTTTTTAAATTTCTTGACCCAGTGGCATAAACTAATAAAAATGTGCCCTGGAGTAGAATCTAATGTAAATCCTCCTCCATAAATAAGCTCATATCTCTCTTTTTCCTTTGAGTATTAAAAGTAGAATTGGCTATGCAACAGCAATCTTTTTTTTTTTTAAGGGTTTGATGTGAGGAGTATAGTAAAGTGAACAGAGATAGAAGCCAACCGCATATTTTCCATCTTCTCCTCATCCTTCTACAGTATTGGAGTGGGATTACAAAAGACAAGAATATAGGGTCTTCCAGCCTAAGTGCTCTCGGACTGCAGCACGGGGTGGGCTCTCAGCTGGCCAAGATTGGCCAGCCCTTTCTGTCTGTTCCAGGGGGGCTCAGCATGGACGGAACCTTGTCCTCTTTCATTCCAGCTCCTGGGCCTCCCCAGAAGGGCCACACTCATCCCAGCAGGCCCCCAATTCACAGCTTCTCTACTGTCAGTTGGTTTTGCCAATGTTGCCACGGTGCGGCCCTCATCAGCTTCCCAATGCCCTCACCTCTTCTCTCCTCAGCCAATTTCACATTCCACCCCCTGCCCTGTTCCATGGGAATCTCCATCACTGAGGTTCCCCAATGACCACATTGTTGCAAATTCAATTAACATTCTCCAAGCCCTTTCTTACTTGAATTCTCTACAATATCTGTTGCTGGGTTTTATTGGTCTTCTCTTGAACATTTTCTTCCTTACTTCCCATGAAATCACTGGGTTTAGTCATTCTTTCTGCCCCAGGCCATTTAGTCTCAGTGTCCCTAGTTGTCATCTCTTATTTCCTCAAGTATTAGTGCTCCCCAAGACTCTGGTCTTTTCCCTTTCCTCTTGTATCTTTGTCCCACTTTTGAGTGATTCAACCCCCCTCCATGATCTCAATTAGCCCCTACAGATTGCCAACTTCCAAAGCCATACCTTTAGTGCCCATCTCTCTTCTGAGGTCCTAACCCAGCCCCCTACCCCAAATAAACATTGGATATCCAGTAAGAGACTTCAAACCCAACATGATAAAAATTGAACTCCAAATAACACTCACCCACCCCTACTCTAGGCCTTCTTCCCCTGTGATCTTTATCTCTGTTAATGATACTATGTTCACATACCTGAGGGCATCTGGAAATTCTCCCTTTCCCTTACTGACCCCCATTTCTTCTATGGGATAAAACCCTATGCCTTCTCTAAAGGCCTAGTGTCTACTGATCTAGTTCAGGTTTTTATTATTGTCTGGGTGGTGGCAACACCCCCCCCCCAAGGGTCTCCTTCACCTCAGTCTCACTCCCTTCCTACTGCTTGTCTATTCTCCTATTTCCAGATAACTGTTTTTTCTAATTATATGATAATCTCATCTCCTTGCTTAAGATTCTTCAGTAGTGCCTTCTCACAGACTTCAAGACAAATGCCAAATTCCTTACCATGAACTATAAGGCCATTATTATCTGCTCCTGCTTTGCTTTCTAGGCTCTTTACCAGTACCCTCCAACTCAGTCCTCAGGCTATAACTACAGGAGTTATAGCCTCAGTCCCATGAGAATATTCTGCAGCAGGAAAGAATATATATATATATATATATATATATATATATATATATATATCAATAAAAAGCAGAGAACAAAGCCTTCCTTCCCTTAAAAACCATCAGTTTAATTCCAAACATCATTGTTCATTGTGTGGTCCCTGAAGGCAGTGGAGGAATTTTTGTTCATATTTTTATCTCTAATGTTTAGCATGGTGCCTGGCTTATTGCAATGTTTCATAAATGCCATGGAAGCCAAAACCAAACAAAGGGGGATAGAAATGAGAGAAAATAAAAGGAAATGGTGCAAGAGAAAGAAAGAAAAAAGAAAAAGAAACTGAGAGAGAATAAAAAAGAAAGAAAGAAAGAAAGGAAAGGAAGAGGGGAGGGAGAACGACAGTGGGAGCAGAGGAAAGGCAGGAAGGAAGGAAGGAAGGAAGGAAGGAAGGAAGGAAGGAAGGAAGGAGGGAGGGAAGGGCTGTCTTTAATTGCACTATTTTATATTGTTTCAAACCACATTCTGCTCTTGGCCTGTCTCTGTCTTACAAAAACATGTGGCACCCAAAACTTACCACATAATTTTTTAATTTAAAAAAAAACTAATAAAAGAATTTTTGTTTGAGAAATAGAATATTTGTCCTAAAGCATCAAAGAATCTTGTTGGAAAGCAAGCATCTAAGCATCTGCAGACAGCTGAGGATTTTTTGAAGAAAAGGAGAAATGTTAGGAATTGAACAGAATTATTAACTTTGTGTCTCATTAATGTTTAATCCTAGGTATATCTTAAGAAAACAGAAGAGAGAATATTAAAGTTCCCCTGTCCTTTAATTGAATATTCTAAGTATCCTAGACTCTCGACTTAGATAAAATCAGGAGCCTGGAGTAATAACTGTCCCAAGATTAAATAACATTAAATCCCTTTCTTCCTGTTTTATCTATGCTGACACCGTGCTCTAACCCTTTCCCTTTGTCTTAAGTGCTATCCCTCTCTCCCAGCAAATATGTGAGACCTAGGATATCCCGGATAATGTCCCCATGGGGTGAGGCTGGTCATGGGGGAGGGTATTTGTGCTAAGGTAGCTAAGAAAAATCCCCCCACTGCTAAAAACACTGTCATAAGATGCCACAGCTCATACAAAGATCGGAGGGACTGCCCAGGACAAGTTCACAAATCCAAGGTGAAAAGCCTTGGAATCAAGATAAAGTGTACTCTCTCTTCCAATAGCAGTCATATAATTTGGGAGCTCATGAACTGATGTTAAGAGGAAAAATATTACATTTTGAACCTTTAAAGCCTTGGCCAGAAATGCATACTTTTGAGGGATTTGATTTGCTGCATTGCCTATCTCTAGTCAATGAGGAAGAAATAGAGCGATGAAATGTCATGAATGGCTGCATGTACTGGTGTGGTGGAAGGAGGCTTCCGGTTGCATGTAAGACAGCCAGTGACTGGAGTTGAGGAGAGGAAGGGTTGGCAGGAGCCAGGGTGTCTTCCCTGGATGGACAGGATTTTGGACTTGACTCTGTACAGGCAACTCGAAAGCATTCATTGGGGATCCCTGGGTGGCCCGGTGGTTTAGCACCTGCCTTCACGCCCAGGGTGTGATCCTGGAGTCCCGGGATCGAGTCCCACACAGGGCTCCCTACATGGAGCCTGCTTCTCTGCCTGTGTCTCTGCCTCTGTGTGTGTGTGTGTCTCTCATGAATAAATAAAAAAAAATCTTAAAAAAAAAAAAGAAACCATTCATTGAAAGGGTTAAGCTCAATAGTGAAACAGATCTGGTTTTAGGAAGGGGACATGGGCAGCAGATAGAATAAAGACCGGGAGAACAGTTAGGATGTTTTGGCAAAAATCCAGAGTAGATATTCTAGAGTCCAAATTCAGGCAGCATGAAGGAACAGTTTGGTGGTGAAAAGACCAATGAGAGAAAGGGAAAAACTAGATAAGAGGAATGGTAATGGTAGTAGGAGATCTTTCTTCCCTAACTCCAACCAGGTGGTCTAATTTCACTTAGCTTCCCCGAAACCTAACAAGCTTACAGGGTAGGACTTCTTTTACGGGCTCTACAGATCCAGCCATTTAAAGCAGAGCTTCTTACCAGTGTCATCTGTCAGCATCACCCACGGAGCTTTCTAGCATTTAATGCTTCCCGGGTACTGCGCCACGCTCTTCTCGTTGCCAATTCTGTTGGGTGCTCTTGGTCAACAAAATCACTGCTTTGAGATGAAACCACACTGTCAAGCACACGCTCCAGACATTAAAAAGATAAACTTGCCTTAACTCTTCAAAGGCCTCGCTAAACCACGCATTTTTAAAATGTCCAACATAAAAATGAGCAGCATATTTTCCTGCTCAAATATTTGAAATGTACTCCTTGTTTTATGGCTATTCATAGTGTTCCACTGACTGCTTATGACATGTTTTCTTGGGGATATAATTAAAAGGAGAATTTGCAAAGAATAATGAAAAACATAAACTTGTCAGATGAATAAAACGATTTCAGATAAAATAGCGTACTGGTTCCGTCACCCTCCCATCTGACGTCCATCAGAATTACAGCTGGTAGATGCTGAACACTCACCTTCTGGAGTCTGTCTCTCAAATTCTTAGTAAAATTAGAGAAGGAGCTGGAAACTGAATTGCGTTTAGCTTCTTCAGGTACTAATGTGAGTAGCCCATAGGCCATGCTTTGGGAAACCTTCTTTTGCACTTGGTTACTAGCGCCTCCAGCCAAATGTTTCTGACCTCTGTGTCATCGACATCGATTTTTCATTCCCTCCTCCCTGAATCCAGCTGTCCTAATCCATTTGGAAATCATGCGCATCAAAACTGCAAAGGAAAATCTTTTGATGTTTTATTTATTTTGGGGAGAAAATTGTGACCTCAAATACCATGGGTAGGGCTACAGAAAATTAATTATGACCTCAAATACCGTGAGTAGGGCTGCAGACTATGAGACGCCAGGAGGCCCCTCTCTCAGGCTGCTATGTAGCTAACTTCCCTGACTGTGGGCTGGCTCTGGCCCCGGCATGGAGGGATTTGCACAAAGAGCCCTCCATGCTCACGGAGGTTACAAGAATATGGCATTTATCATCAGATTTAGTTCAGGTTCTAACAGATAACAAGGTTAAGATTAATGCAGAGTGGCTCTCAAGTCTGGAGCAGAAGGCTAGGTCAGGAACCAGAAGAAACAGTCCGAAGATACAGACAATTAAGAGGGAAACATGAGAGTTACACTGGTGTTAAGTGAACACTAGGATCACCTGCAGAATTTAACAGCAACAACAGCAACAACAAAATAATAATACTAGTGCCCAGGTGCCAGGTGCACTACATCAGTAACTCCGGAAGTGGACCCAAGGATAGGTAGTCTCAAAGTGCTCCAGGTGATTCTACGTGAAGCCAACGTTGAGATCCACTCCTCTAAATACCTCCTTTCTCTGAATAGCCTGTTGCCCTGACTGATGACATTCATTGACCCAACTGCAAATGAAAAGGCTCAAATTCCAGTACCTTTGGTCACTTACTGGTCTTTCAAGACACAGCTCCAATATCATGCTTGCAATGATGTCTTTCCTGATCCCCACTCCAATCTCTTTCTTCCTGTGTGCTGATAGCTGCGTAGATATGGTGTCATCACGGCACCTGTTAACTCTATGCACTTACCTGTCTCCTTCACTGGGATCCCCAAGGGCATGACTCATATGGTTTCATATCCTGGTCCCACTTGGCATATTGTCTGGAAGGTAACAGACCCTCAATAAAAGTTTATTGAATTCTTAAGAACCCAGTAAATACTTATTTATTCTTAAATACATATTTAACCACTATGTAGCTCATTTTCTTTCTTTTTTTAAAAATATTTATTTATTTATGTATGTATGTATGTATTTATTTATTTATTTATTTATTTATTTATTTATTTATGATAGACATAGAGAGAGAGAGGCAGAGACACAGGAGGAGGGAAAAGCAGGCTCCACGCTGGGAGCCCGATGTGGGACTCGATCCTGGGACTCGAGGATCGCGCCCTGGGCCAAAGGCAGGCACCAAACCGCTGATTCACCCAGGGATCCCTATGTAGCTCATTTTCAACATCTATTAAAGTAAAAAATCAGGGCACCTGGATGGCTCAGTCGGTTAAGTGTCTGCCTTCGGTCGGTTCAGGTCATGATCTCAGGGTCCTGGGAGGGAGCCCCCCACCTCGGTCTCCCTACTCAGTGGAGAGTCTGCTTCTCCTTTTCCCTCTGCTGCTTCCTCTGCTTGTGTTCTCTTTCCGTCAAATAAATAAATAAAATCCAAAAAAAAAAAAAGATTGAACTGTGTTGTCTCTAAATTTTAATTCCTTTGAGACCTAAAACTCAGTGATTTTTTTCTCTTTGTATCACATAAAATATATACATATGATTCCAGAAATAATGCATTAGGCTTGGACTCCTTTGCATTTCCCAAACTTTCATATGTACTCTACCTGCCTAGCATCTTGTTAAAATGCAAATTATAATTGGACAGGTCTGTGGTGAGGCCTGAGGTTCTGTACTTCGACTAAGCTCTCAAGTTGTTGTATCTGGTGAGCGATGACACTTTGGGTAGCATAATTTTAGGGGATAGAGGCAGATCCTAGTCTTCCCTGAGTTCCCATCATGCATTATAAGGCAGAGAAGGTAATCCTTAGCACCAGACTGCCTGGGTCAGATCCTGGCCCTGACACTCCCATTAAGACCATGAGTCATCCTAACATATTTGTGCCTCAACTTCTTCATCAGTAGCAGAGGGATAACAATAGAGTTTTTGGGTGAAATTAGTGAGTTAATTCATGTGCAATCCTTACAATGGTGCCTCACATGTAATAAGCCAATACATATTAACACTATATATATATATAATATATATAACACTATATATATTATATATTCTATATAATATAATATTAATATATATATTAAGAAGAACTGAAAACTTCTTTTCAGTTAATTAGTTTCAGAAGGGATCAGTTCTATTTGTCAGGAGCACTGATTTTTCTTTTTTTTAAATCTTGAAAACAGTAAAGAGAAGATATTTTTTCTTCCTTTGAAAAGCAAATACTAGATCCATAGGCAAAGAAAAGATCAAAAGAGAGAAAAAAATTCAGCTCGCCACTCTTCAGTCCCATCATTCTCTGCTTTCTCATCCCTGTCCCATTGCAACATTGAAAATACAGAATGTTACCGTGTCAGAAAAAGTGACTTGCAAGGATTAAAACCCACTTCTGGCCAGAAGATACAAACGGACACTCGGTACAGCGTAACTATCAGCACAAAATCACACTATTCTTTTAATAATAAGGTTCAAAGCTTATTTCCTGACACTAAGATAGCAGTTCTTCAGCAAGACAATTGGGTTTTCAAAGAGGAGTGTCAAAGTTTTGGGGAGTCGTCAAAATGCAAGAAGGAATCGCCCCAACCTGAAACACTCTCAGAGCAAGCATAGGGCTCAGTTCCAAAGAAGGAAGAGAAGCATCAGAGAGTAGAAGAAAACAACAAAAACAAACAAACTGGCAAACAGAAAATCTGACATTATTAGGAGCCTTGTGTTACCTTAAATAGGAGAAGGAGAGGGGCGCCTGGCCGCATCAGTCTGAAGAGCGTGCAACTCTTGATCTCAGGGTCGTGAGTTCGAGCCCCGCGATGGGTGTAGAGAATTATCTAAACAAATAAATGTTTATAAAAAGAAAGGGAAAAGGGGATAAGGAAAAAAAAAAGAGGTTCAAAACAATCATTATTGAGTCCTTACTATGTGCCAATGGCTTCAAATATATTCAAGTTGTAACCGTCCCGTAACACTCCCTGCGGAAGGCATGTTGAAGCTCACTTTACAGTTGAGGAACCTGAGAGGAGGGTCGTCCTTGTCAGACTCTGATTTGGCAGAGCTGGGATCCGAATCTCCTGCCAGTGTACATTCTGTTACTAGTTAGTCCCGTCTCCTGAAACAGACTTCGAAAGAGCCTCCAGATCTGAGCTTTCTCAAGTTAAAATCAAGCTTAAGGTCACATAATAACTAACAAGCCAGGGCAAAGCGAAGCAGGAATGAATATATAAAACAGCTGAAATTGTGCCAAAGACACATTCCCCCTCTTAGTTTTATGGAGAGGGTAAGTCCTGGGACGTGACCAAGGTAGTCGACCTCCTTACCTGCCAGCCTTGTAGGCTTGATGCCAGCCAGGTGTGCAACGTCCCTTCTTTTGTTTTAAGGCATGTTTGGAGAAGAATGTCTGCCCTGCAGAGCAATTCAAGGTGAAAACTCAACCAATAGCTTGAATTCCGCCCCTGGCCTCATCCTGTACTAGAACAGAGGTTGCTGGAGTTGCCAACACTGCTCTCATGAGTGTAAATTCCATCGGGCCACTGAGCTCCTGTTAGGTGAAGGAGGTTCACCCAGTGGGAAAATTGAATCCAGGGCCTTGAAAGAAGGTTGATGTAACACTCAGAGTTTAGTGAATCTAAAGTTGGATCTATTTACTTACTCATGTCTGAGCAGAACAGAATAGGCTGAGCAGAACGCCTGGCCTGTGGGTTTAATCTCTATCTCTTTAGGCCATGAGACCCTTTGCATATCCCGACTTATGTAATTCACTGATTACATTTCCTACTTTTAATGTTGAACCTAACACGTTCCTCTTGGTTTGGCTACAAGGAAGAAAAAGAACTTTACCTCTAGTTAAAATTTTCAGAAAATCTAGTTTTCACACTTGGAAAAGTCCAATTATTTCTTATTCAGTTAGAAGTCCCTGTGTTAGAAGAAAGAAAATCACTGATAATGATACTCTTAAGAGAACCAAATAACTCAACAGTGTTTCATCATTTGGGGTTTTCCTAAACAGAAAACTATTGAAACCTTTTTACTTTAACTTTATGCTTTCCACAGTATATATGAATAGAATAAAAGGAAAACATAGTCCTATTCGTTAATTAGTATGTTAGGAATTTTCAAAATGCTGTGAAGAAGTACTTAAAATGGAAAATGACTGCAAATTCCAAGGTATTTTTTTTAACATGGCCTAAGAATAAGGTATTTTTGATAAACAGATTATTGTCTATACTGTATATGAATTAAATACTTCTAAAGAATTAGAATTTTCTGAACACTGAGGTGACTTAGAAAATATGATTTAATCTTTCTTTGGTGATCAGAAGATATTTTAAAACTTTTTTTTAAAAGATTTTTTATTTATTTCTCTAAGAGAGAGAGAGAAAGCAGGAGCAGAGGAGAGGAACAGAGGGTGAGGGAGAAGCAGATTTTCTGCTAAGCGGAGATCCTGACCCAGAGCTCTATCCCAGGACCCTGAGATCATGACCCAAGCTGAGGGCAGACGCTTAACTGACAGCCATCCGGGAGCCCCAGTATTCTAAAATTTTATGCATTTTCAAGGTCACCGAAATAAACACCAATTAACACAATTTAACTTGTTACTTCCAAAACACAAGCGTCATTATTAAGAGAAATGCAAAGTTAATAGAGTGACCAATAAACCGTATTTCACTGTAACCCATAATGTTTTGGAAGATATGTCCACTGTGTGTGTTTTTATTAAAGTATATTACTGAGAAATAACTATTTTAATGGTTGCGAACCTCCACACTCTACAGCTAATTAAAATGCAATTGTGTAGGGTTTTTTTGTCGCCTGCATATGGTCATTACAAAAGTGGCCAAATCTGGCACGACAAACATTGCCTCACTGAAATCCCATGTGACATGAAGAGCCAAACAAGAGCAGTGTCTCAAGTATACAAAAGCAAATCTGAGAATTTAATATTTTCTCATACAAGGATTCTCAATCTAAGTAGAGGAAACTTCCCATTCAACTTAAAATTGGTAAAGAATCGTCCAAATGTTCTATAGAATTTGGAAACAAAAAACAAACTTTTAAAACTATTTGAAATCATCATGAGTCTTGAGAGAAATGTGTTTCTGCAGTATCACAAAAGAAAGCTCAACTTTCTCATTTAGGGGTTTGGAGGATTTATTTGGGAACATTAAGCTATACTGACTAGAAAGTGCAGTTATGTTTTAAGTGGAGCGCATTAATGCAATCAGTAGCATTCATCAAGTGCATTAAACATCCACCAGAAAAAAAAAAACCATCCACCAGGCTTTAAAACAGAAATATTGACTAGAACATGTGCATTCATCACGTTCATTATAAAAACAGACATATTCTTAACATTTCTGTCATAGAGAAATTTCTAAAATGTTAAATTCCTTAATACTAAAAAAAATAATCAGATGGAAAACTGATTGGAGGGTGAAGAATAATGACAGAATGGATCAAAATGGATCAAGGGGAAAAACTCACAAAAATCCCACAGCTTTTGGGGCACCTGGCTGGCTCAGTCAGTAAAGCATGCGACTCTTGATCTCAGGGTTCTGAGTTCCAGCCCCACATTGGGCACAGAGATTATTAAAAAGCAAAACAAACACAAAAAACACAGCTTTTTTAGTATAGAACAATGATGACAAAAATCAGAATTGCCACAGAATCAAGGAAGGAGGGACACCTGGGTGGCTTAGCGGTTTAGCGTCTGCCTTCAGCCCGGGCGTGATCCTGGAGACCCGGGATCGAGTCCCGCGTCGGGCTCCCTGCTTGGAGCCTGCTTCTCCCCTGCCTGTGTCTCTGCCTCTCTCTCTCTCTCTGTGTCTCTCATGAATAAATAAATAAATAAATAAAACCTTAAAAAAAAAAGAATCATGGAAGGACTTCATGAAACTGGATCTGGGAAGAAGTTCTGTAACTGTGCTTTTAGCAAGTCTTCATAATTAATTTGTGTACTAGTTATTGATCAATTATCAATTGATCATATAAGCTACATATTTCTACCTGGGTTTCCCAAAGCCCACCTTCAAAATATACCTTTGTTAAAATACGTTTATAACCTCAAAAACATCCTTGAAGAATATAATAATGTGTGTATAATCCACCTGAAGAGATGTATTGGTTAATCAGAAGTTAAAACATATGAATGTTTCCATTTTTCTCTTTTTTTTGCTCTTCACTTTATTTTTGCATAGCTAATTCATTCACATAGTATGAAATTCAGAAGCTAATAATATTTTACAAACTTTTATCTATTATTGAGAGACATGACTATGCCCCAAGCAAGTCCTAAAAATAGCAAGCATCCTTCAATATCTCAATATCATGTCTTGTCTCCTCCATACCTTTTTTTAAATTTTTTTAAATTTTTATTTACTTATGAGAGAGAGAGAGAGAGAGAGAGAGAGAGAGAGAGAGGCAGAGACACAGGCAGAGGGAGAAGCAGGCTCCATGCCGGGAGCTCGACATGGGACTCCAGGATTGCGCCCTGGGCCAAAGGCAGGCGGAGCCACCCAGGGATCCCCTAGTATCTTGTTATAATATTTCAGTCTCTAGTTTTTACTCTGTGTGTATAACTTTGATATTCGGAGGCATAATTTCAACCAATATGCAGAATGTCATTAGGACATGCTTTACAAACTCTGTAACACTTAAATTTATATTTATAGACTTTCACCATCTCTATTCTAACGTGTCATCCCTTTTAGGCACCAAATGACTATTAAAGCAGGTTGCTTTTCCCTCTCATTTGGAGACCATGGGTAAGGAGTGTAACACGAATGGTGGTGTTTATAGGAAAAGGTGTGATAATATTGAGGAACATGCCCAGTTTTAAAATTCTTACGCTAAAAAAAGTATGCCTTTAAAACTTTATAACCAGAAACAGTACCCTGAAGAAACAAATTAAAGACAAGTTTAGAAAGCACCTAATTGAGCGTGTCGTCTAAGCCCACCTTGTTATAGATGAGGAGATTTAGGCCCGGAGAAATGAAGCAGCTTGCTCAGTTTCACAGAACTTATGAATCCAAGATCTGAGACTGGAACCTAGTTTCTGGACTCCCAATCCTGATCTCATTTTGCCGTCCAAATCACTTCCTTTCATGCACTTTGCCTTGGAATGACCTACAAAGATGGTCTATTTTCAAGTTATGAATAGACAGAGGTTCCCTTGTATCTCTGCGAGAAGAAATGAATTGGTTAATGAAGGAATTAGATAAACTCGTGGATGATATAATAACTTCCCAAAGAAATTAGAGATGTTTGCGGGCTATCATCAGATTTGCCACCCAGTTACCGGCCCTCTCTACTCTGTTAAATTGGAGCTCTCTTGGGGATGGCCATACCTTACAGTCCACTCAGGGGCGGCCGGCCCTCAAAGCTGACCATCTCCACTCCCTGCTCTCTGTACACTGTCTTGTCTGGGCCATCTTTTTTGACTCTTTTCTTGACTTCTCTCCCTCTCTGCTTCTATGTTTATAGCTTTTCACTTAGGCCCTCTGCTACCCAAACTTTTCTTTCATTAGGATTCATGCATGTTTACTATATTTTTCCCTATAGATGTTGCTCAAATTTCCCTCTCCTGCCCTTTTGTTGACCTTCATCCCGGCTTATACTTCCAACTGCCCATGGGTAACCTCCATTTGAATATCCTGCAAGTACCTCAAATCCAACTTGTTTAAAGTGATTTTTTTTTTCTCCCTTATAAAAGGTCTCCTAACTTCCTTGCTTCTTTTGTCCTTCCAATAAATCAGGTTCAAAACCTTGGAGTCTTCTTTTATTCTTTTTTTTAATTAATTAATTATTTTTTTAAAATTTTTATTATTTTTTATTTTGAGAGAGAATGCAAGAGCCATAGCAGGGGAGGGGCAGAGGAAGAGAGGGAATCTTAAGCAGGACCCATGCTCTGTGCAGAGCCTAACATGGGATTCAATTCCATGACCTTGAAGCCATGACCTGAGCCAAAATCAAGAGTCGGATGCTTAACCAACTGAGCCACCCAGGCACCCCTCTTTGATTCTTTATCTACGTTTCCAAAACATATTTCAACCCTAACCTTTATAGGCCTTCTCCATAAGTTATCTTTATCTCATTGTCCTCTTTTTTCTCCCAGCCCATTTAATACTTTGACTACTATATAAAACTCTGAGGTTGTTGTCTTCCACTTTTTACCCCCACCCTTGGTTAATAGACCCATTCACATTACCTCCAGGTGCACCTTTGTGTACAATACTTTCAATCGCTTGATATTCTCTTACTCAAACCCTTCAAATTCCCTCACTCTACATCCAAAGCATTTAATCTGGCATT